AAAAATAATTATAAATGATTGAAAATTTATTATATTTTTGTAATTCTTTTACACAGTTATTTTAGATATTTTTTAAACATATCTACACATATATGAATTTTTTGTACAGTAAAATTTTTCTTTTATTTAAAATAAAAAAATTATTGCTTGAATTAATGAATTTAATTTAAGAAAATAATTATAATCAATAGAAAGGAAATATTTTTGTATTAATATTTTAAATGAAAATTTAATTTTTTTAGTGAAAACTTTTTTTAAAAAAAATTTTACTTTCTCAAGTTCAAATTTTAACATAAGTAAAATTATGTCTTTAACATGTGAAGCAAATTTTAAATAAATGTCACAGTACAATATTAAATTACGTTTATATATATATATTTTTTTTTTTCAAAAAATGCTTGTTAAGATATTAAAAAATATTAAATAATTTTGCCTTTATATGTCATTTATTATATTTTTAATCATAATTTTTTTTTTAAAGAATATGTATTTAAAAATATGTATTTATTTATATTTTGTTTATAATAGTTATTTTATTTTATTACATTTTTAATTTATTAATTTAATTTTATAATATTAAAATATATAAATATATCTTTAAATAATAATCTGTCCATTTGTAAGTTTTTAAAACTGTAAAATATTCCTAAATATTTCTCAATAAAGATTTTAAAGATTTTAATCAATTTTATACAAATACTTTTCAAAAATTACATTTATCATGCATCTAATTAGAAAAATTATAAATTTTCAATATTGTATACAATATACTTTTTTTTTAAAAGAAAATTTTAATAATAAAATAATCTAATTCTGAAAATATTATATCACACATCATTTAGTAGATTAAAATAAGAAAAAGGAATATCTTTTACATTTCTATTAATTAAAAATTGCTGGTGTATTCAATAAATTTTTTTCATAATGTTTCATTCATACAATTAAGTTTTGTTCTAAAGAGATCTATGTCGATATTTTTCTTAGTAAGTTATATACTTCTTTAATCTTGTACGCAGTGCACCAGCCTGTTTACGCTTCGAGGCGTTTGGCATGCTTTATGGAAGTCCATAAACGGATACAACGGTCCACTGCATAGGCATTCATATATTTAATTCATTTCTGACTTTATCTCGATGACTGCATTAAATCGAGATGCATTTTATAAAAGAGAGAAATTATGTTGAAGTCATCTGATTGTTTTTCTTTATATGAAAAAAATGCCGTTATCGCACCCATTTCAAAACATAAGATCGATATTGCATGATATGTATTTTAATTGTAAATTATAATCTTTTATAAAAAAGAATGAAAGAAAGGAATAAAAATAGAACAAAATATCGTAAGTTAATAATCGAACAAGAAATTACAATTCGAAGTCTTTATTTAATTGTTTAATTTAACAAAATTTAACATGTAAATGCAACATGATGCATCATTCGTTTTATTAAATTTTTGAGGTACAAAAATATATATATATATATATTTTTCTTTAAATATCACTTATGTACTTTGTACGCAAATCTCACTAGCAATTAAAAAAAAAAAAAATTTATATGCTAATCTCAGAAAATATGAAAAACAAAAATTCTGTAGCATGTGAATATATTTCTATGTCGACAGTCTCTAAACAATCACTTTTTATAACGTTAATCCGATTAAATAGAAATCAATGAGCATAAAATGAATTATTAAACTAAAAAATATAAACTAAAAAACTAATTAATGTGTTATTTGTACATAATTTTGTTAAATCGAGTTTTGTATCCTTAAAGGATACACTATCCTTTGTTATAACGAAAATAAAAACTTAAATACAATACTGCAACAAATAACACTCATACTTTATCACACTAGAATAACGTTATGATAAGAATGAACGGAATGATCATAAACTCTGTTACTGATAACAATATTGATCTTATAATTAGTTAAAAGGCACTGAAAAAGAATCACATAATTCTTATTCCTCTGCTATAAATGTACTATTCTCAGAAGATTCGGATTTTATTTTAAGTGGCGAATTAGGAGTAGTGCTGTCGGGAGTTTCGGTACCTGAATCACATTTATTATTATTTTCTCTATCGTCGTTAATATTAGAGTTTTTCATTTTTATCTGACTCTTGTCTCTTGATATTTTTAATTTGGATTTCTTATCAGGATCAAAATGACCTTCAAGAACAATCAGTACATCTTCTATTTTCTTTTCGTCAGTTGCAGTTAATTTTTCCTTAATTAATTTATCTAAGCCTTCTTTCTTCCCATTACTCCATGCTTCCTATATAATATATTTAACAATAATTAAAAATTATTCAAATAATAATTACATTATTTACATTAATTTAATATTTAATATTAAAATTTCATTCATTTTTATAATGTAAAAATAATTTAATTAAAAATAATAATTTCATTTTAATTTATACGAACTTGTAACTGAGAATATTCTATTCCTGCTTCAGCAAGCAATCGTCGTAAAGGACTAGCATGTTGACGTTCTCGACGATTTACACGAAATAGAACTCCAAAAATAGGCCTTAAACTATTTTGACGTTCAAATACTATTTTTAATTCTGAAACAAGATCATTATATTATATAATAAAATATCTTACATTTAAAATAGCTTTTAATTTCTATTGCATATTCACATTACCTGCATATTCTTGTTCTTCTATTTCTACAGGTTGAACAAATTCCCTAATAAATTCAACAGTATTTTTCATGGCACTATCACTATCACCACTGCCATCTGCTTCATTTCCTTTTGTAACTTCTAATGAACTTAAATGTTGTACTATTTGTAAAGCCAGACATGCTCTATCTTTTGCATTGCCTAATTGTGTTTCCTTAAATTATAACAATTTTATATTAAAATAATTATATAGAGAAATACTTTTTTATTATTTAGAATGTAAAAAGTATATGATGCATAATATTTTAAGAAAATTTTGCTAACTTGATTAAATAAACTTTGGGATAATGTCCTGAGAGTATATGCACGAACTGTGTTTGCACATTTTACTTCAGCAATGTTAAATCCATTTGCAAAGCCTTTTACAATTTGTTTAAATCTTTCCAGAAGATTATATTTTTTTAAAGATTCAATTAACATGGCAGGAATAACTTTACGTGGTTCATGATAAACTAATATTATACCATCTGCTGCATCTCCTCTTATAGAGGAAAGCCATGTTATAAAATCTGTTAATGCAGACACTTCACTTTTAGTTTTTAATGCCTATATAAAAATATGGAATTTAATATGATTAAATATAAAATATTAATTCTTTAATATTGATAAAAATTTTACCTTATTAGTTTTATTATCTTTAAGTACACGAAACTTGCCAATAGTTACTATTTTCATATTATGTCTTTTCATAGCTGGAGGATTAAGATCTTTATATGGCATTACATATTGAGAATATGAAGAACTAGGTGTATATCCAGCTATTTGACATATTTCATCTATAACTTTTTTGCCTGTAGTATCCATATCCCAACCAACTAAACGATAGTTTCCTGGACCAATACCCACTGCAGAAGGTTTTCTTGGTGGGTTGGATTTTCCATTTTCCATTATTGTTGATGATACCATTTTTATAAATTAAAAGTCTGAAAATGTATAAAAATTTCTAAAAAACAATTTTAATTTAATTTATACAAGATAAAAAAATAATGTATTAATGTTAATATCAATAAAATTAATAAATTAATTAATAAATAATAAATGTAATATTATATATATATTATATATTTTATGTATATATAAAAAATAAATTAAATATAAATAACTAAAAGTTACAATATATTATTTAATTTTATTATTATAAAATATACATATTTTAAAATAATAGCAAAATATATACATCTTTGTATAATCTATGTATGTAACTTAAGTTTTTCTTTAGCAAATGTTTGGAACGAACACTCAGTTTTTGTACAAGGGCGAGATATTTTGGTACATGCGTAGAGCAGATTATACATGGTATCGGCAAGGTCGACCTTGAAATTCAATACAATACACAAATACTTCAAAACACAAAAGATTAATAATTGGAAACATGACTATCAATATTGTCTTACCTTCTAGAATTAACTTACAAATGATTTTTCAAATAAAAATTATCTTATATCGTATCTTATACGTAGTGATTTTTTTTATGTCACGTAAAAGAGATGCCAAGAACGAAACGACAAAAATATTAATCAGAAATAAAGAAATACACAGACTCACGTTTTGTAAATCTATTAGTATTATTATCGGGAACAAGAAATTTTGCATGAGAATAATGTTACGCCATCAACGACGATGAAAAAATAACAGTCTAACAGCTGGTATCTTGTTTTGCAGAAGTGCATTTACCAGCAAGGAAACTGAATGTTGCATGAATTTTTGCTATTCCGTGACGTCTATGCAACACGCATTACACATCAGCTTGCGACGAATCATGTCATGTATGTAAAATAGATATTTTCATCACACGTGGATCTATTGCAATTCATGAATAGCCTCGATTTCGATATTTTCGTTTTCATTAATTCAACATCAGATTCACTACGCTCACTCACCAATTCACGTGATTTTGCAGTTCCTTTTTTTTTTTTTTTCTTACGTTTTTTCTTATTATGATGATTGAAATAGACGATAGCACTATAAATCCTTTGTAGATACTGGAAACTACTGGAACGCAACTAGATTCGTTTGAACACACGTGCGAGATTGGCAGTAAACCGCCCGCTCGATGATCTGCGCGTGCGTGCTTGATCGTAAGTCACGTGGTTCTAATGTCACTATTGGTGAAGAAAAGACTGGCAATTGTAGTTCTAATACAGTACGTGATCAAATCGAAACGTTTGTGTACGCATTTGTTTCTCATATTTCAATATGAATACTTGTAGATTTAAATTTTATCGATCATATACGATTGATGATTGCAAAAAAAAAAAAAAAAAATAAGAAAGAATTGATTGATAGAATCTTATTGAATATTGAATTGTAGAGTATCTATATAACAATTGTAATGATTTTTTTAGATAATGATTTATCATTATTATAATAAAATATAATAGAATACAATAAAATAGAAAAAATTATATAAAAAAAGTGGAAAAAATCTTTTGTAAATGGAAAATTATTTTGATAAAATTGATAATAATTATATTTCATTATTGATTAAGGTTATAATTTTTCTTTATAACATTTTTCCATCATATTGCAAGTATTTGAAGAACGGTGATAACGGTGATGAAGATTTTTTCAAAGATAGACAAACGATTCAATATTCACACTTTCAAAGAAAATTGAACGTGATTAAAATAATGAGCAATTAAACGGTAAAAGTATTAATTTTGTATCATTTTCGAATTATATTATTTGTATAATTTATATAAGAAATAAATAATAATTTAATCGATTTAATTACATCATTTTCCTTTATGTTATTTTCTATTCGACATTGACAGGTGGAAATTTATTCGGAATGAACCAAGAATGCTGTTGCAATTACGGCGTGTTCTAAAGATACGCGTGTGTCATTCATATTTAACATGAAAGTAGCTGCATACTAATGGTATGTAAAAGAAATTCACACATATCCACACATGCATTAAAAATATAATCAATATTGTTTCTGAATCGAATTCTGAACTGAAAATTTATTTATAAGTGTTAAAATTCATTAATGTGAAATGATGAGAATCATTGATGCTTCTTATTTATTGTTGTAATGACGCATTTATATAAAACTCCATTTGCACGTTGCACTTTGGTTAAAATTGTTGACGGTAGCGATAAATTGGCATACAGCTTATCTTTCGTTATCTGTTATTTATCCTTTTTTAGAGCGATTCGCATGCTTTGTGGCGCTGATAAATTGTTTCAACTGGGTCATACATTCGCTACGGCTCGTTTTTGTCTTTTCATTTATCTGTGGAATTTCTACCGTGCCGGTTGTTCCAAATTTATCGAATTCTCCGCGGTATTTAACGCGAGAAAATTGAAAGGCGAGCCGCACACGGTCAACTATCACTGCATTTTTTCGTGTGATTAAATTCCCATTATGATGCAATATACACACGTTTCTGTATAATATTGCCAAGAATAATTATCTAAACCGGTAATTATAATCGTTACGTTAATGCAGTAAGCGAAATATTGTTATTATTTATTATTATTTGCTTCTTATACCTACATAAGTAATTTATTATGAGAGCACACGATGATTTTTAAAATGTTAATTTGAGATCGAATAAATTTATATTTATTTTTGTCTATGGTAAATTATTAAGGAATTTTTTATTTGTGATATTGTAACTTATTAAGTCAGTTATTCTTATAATTATTTTAATAAAATTACATTTATTATAAATTTGACATCTATATTTAAAAATTTTTTCATTTTTATAATTGTCTGCAATAATTGTATTCTTATATTATTTTTATACATATTCATTTTATTTCAATATTGAAAAGAGTAATAACTATGAAAACATTTTCACATATATTATTATAATTTAATTTAGAAAATTTTCATATATCATTTAAGTTACTCTTGAGAAAATTGTTTATTTTATGTTTTACATGTTTACAAGTATGTTAATTTTATGCATATATATGCATATATATACATATCACATAAATGTCAATATCACATATCAAATAAGTCACAATAAATGTAGGTAAATCAAAATTAAATATAAAAATTGTAATAATAAAAAAAAAACTCCTGAGTTTTATGAATTTTGTCATAAAATGAAATTAATCTATTATAGTTTTACCTGCGCCTGAAAGCTTTTTTCCAACCACCGTCATATTCGCTTTTTACAATATGTGGCAAAGCAAAATCTCATGTAAATAGTAAAAACCATTAAAGCGCGTTTGGAACATTTCACGTTCGTGGATCAGTTAATATTCGAGCTTGGTTTTGCTATTTGTCCACGTGACAGTTTCATATCTACTCTCTGATGGAATATGTGAAATTTGAATGAAATGTAGTGTCTAATAAGAATTGATCATTTTTATAATAAATATCGGTTTAATAATCATGCTATAAATGCAATTGATATGTAATATGAATAAATATTTTAGAAAAAAAAAATGAATATCGAAGAAAAGAAAAGGCAAAGATTAAATTTATATCCTATTAAAATCAATAATTTTTTTGAAATTATACTATAATGAATATCATATCCAAATATCATAATTGCTTCGAAGTGAATTCGACAGTAAAAAAAAAAAGAAAAAAGAGATGGAAAAGAATATCTTGATAAATTGATTAGTATTCAACCTAGCTTCGGCAAACGTAAAATCGATCATCTCTGTATCTCTAACGTGCGTACTTTCTATCTCGACTGACAGAAAAAAATAGGATGTTTCATTGAAATTAAAAAATAGCAACGAGAAAATGAAACACGATATGTGTACATAAATTTCAATGGAAATTGAAAAGAGTAATTTCTGAAAAAAGAAGAAAAAAAAAATCACATCTTTTTTTATGTACTTACTACACAATCATGTTGATAAATTAAAAAAAATATACTAATAATAATTTTTTTTTTTAATTTTTCTAAGAAACTTTTTATATTTCTTTAAATCAATATTGTTTACTGTTTATTTTTTTAATATTTTACGTTAGATTCATTTTTAAAATTTTCAAATAAATAATGGAGAATGTAAAATTTTAATGATAATATTCTAATTTAATTATAATATATATTTATAAGTCAGTATTAAAACAATATTGATTTATTACTGTATCATATAAATGAAACATATAGATTTTGTAAATTATGCAGTTTCAGAATAAAGAAATTAGAGAGCAACAGCTAACAGCTATCGAGATAAATGGTACATCAAAATTCAGTATGGAGGATGACTACAAATGGAGAATATCGGGAAACGAATTTTAGATTCACACGTTTGCTCTTCATTAATATTCAGTCTATCACCCACAAATGTAATAGAGTCATTGGCAAACATTGTACGAAAGATAAAAGTAGAAAAGAGATTAATTAAATGCGAAGATTTTGCGATCGTTTTAAAATCCTGAAAAAAATTTCTTATTAAATTAAGATTAAATGGATCAGCAAAATTAAATTTATATATGCAGAAACAAAAATAAAATAAATGTGAAAAATAGTTTGATTTCTTGATTGAATTAAATAATTTCTTATTTCAGTTAATTAATCGAAATAAAATATATGGATGCATGAAATAGCGAGGAAATCTGTTTTTAATTTTTTGATATTGTTGTTAACGTAATAAAATTCACAAAATCTATTTAAATACACAATTAAATATTAAATAAAATAAATAATATACATGTTTATAAATAAAGTAATAATTATATGTTTATTTATATAAACTAAAACATAATAATTCTAAATAAAATTTGCTTGGAATATATTTAATATTATTTATTATTTCAAACAATGATTTATTAATTTTACTGATTGTCAATGATTTATGGATAGAAATGTATATCACAAATATATAAATACATTTTATATATTCATTTCACATATATGTATCTCCTTACAGAAATACCATGAGCATGTACGTTTCTAGAGTTCATTCAGACTTGTATTTCGCATGAAACCGAATTTCAACCACAAACAACCACTCAGTCCGTTCTGCACTTGTCATTCACACAGAATGCATGATAAGCTCATTCATATCTGACATTCGTGAAATTCATTCACCCTCGTCGTACAGAGTAACTCGTATAACCTGCTAGTCGATATGCTAGCATAATTAAATATGCCAATCATAATGAAAAAAAAACTATTGAAAAAGATTTTATTATTTATATTGATAATTTACATTGATAAATATTGAAAAAGTAGATAAAATAATATGAGAATATTAAATTTAGATACAGTATCGTAATAATCATTGCTTTTTAATCATTATTATTAATAAAATGATTATAATTTTTTTAATTTGAAGCAAGCTAACAAAATTAAATTATTCTTTGAATATAATAATTTTGAATAATTGTTAAACAATAAAATTTTACTATTTAAAAATAATAATATCCAAATACGAAAAATCTTTAAATCAATTTTTTTAATACTAAAAGAACAAAAAAATATTTTCTTAGAAATCTTAAAAATTTCAGTATTAATTAAATTTTAAATTGAATAAAATTTATTTATTATTTTACTTCTTATCACAAAAAAGAAAGAAATTAATTTTATTTTATTATTTTAAAATTTTTTAACTATTTTCTTATTTAATTATCTAATATTAAAAGAAAATTTTAATAAAATTGAAATAAACTTAAATCATTTGTCTATACAATAATGTATTGATTTTTCTACTTTTTTCTATTTACATGTTTTTGAGAATTTTTTTTTACTTGGCTTGGTCTTAAAATTTTTCTGAAAACATCTTTTTATTAAATACAAAATACAAAGTATTTGCATTTGTTTTCAGACATTTCATGCATTCATTCGTTACGATATATCATGTTAATATATGAATCTTATAAATAAACCGCTTTTTTAAATACAACTGTACAACATACATTAAATATTCCAAGACTTATTTAAAATAAATAAATAAAATAATATACATCCATTTCATTACGAAATATTTTTTCAAGTATAGAACATGTCAAACTTATAACGAAATACACACACATAATACACATAATCAAAATCATTTTTCTTTCCTTTCACGATGATTTCACTAAAAGATTGAAATGTCCACCGGAACGAAAGTTTTATTTATCTTAATTTAACCACACTGCACACAAAGAATAATCGAAAGAGGTTCTGAATAAAAGAAAGACTCACAATACTGAACGATCTCGTCGTGAATCCCGTCTGAGAGAAGAAATTATTTCACCGTTGGCTCCCGATCGTTCTTTTTTGCGATGGATCGACTGGGATGATCGGTCGTTAAAAAACGATTCTTCGTCGCGGTTGCGCCGCGTACGTGACACTTTTTTTCCCGCGATCTCGATCCTTTCTGTTCACCGTGACGCCTTCGTAAACGCCGTGAAATGTAGACAAAAGACCGTTGACTCGACACTCGACGCACAGATCCCGATAGTCTATTGTTTTTCTTCGTTTTCGGCTTTCCCTAGGATATTATCTTTATCTCATTTCCGCGCGTTATTTTTCGTTCTTCTTTTGTTTTAATGAAGGTAGAATTTCCTATAATTGTCAGACGACGTAGTATGTCTGATATATCAGTTACATGTATCCATATACATACTAAAAATAACCTACACGTGGCGCTGGCGTATGGTTGAAAATATTTGAATGCATGTATCCAGACGCATTTTGGTTATATGGAATACCGCCTTAAACTTTCACTAATTGACGATGATGAGGTGCCCCTCTTCATATCTATTGCGATCAACTTTGCTCATGTTCGATTCGGTAACCACGCTTTCGCTGATAACGTAGCATTGCAACGAGATAGTGTGAGATTTGCACGTATCTGCAACGTGTCTGATATACGAGTGATTTGTGGTGAACAAGTGATAAGGTTGCATTGCTTCCGTATAGGTGTAGTTTTTGATGCTCAGCAAGTTAAGATATAGATGAAATTATTGAATTGGAATTTTTAAATTTTGGGATAATTATTTTGAGATAGTATAATTTTATTTTTAATATAAATTAAAGAATTGATCAGAAATTGATATACATTGAAAAATAAAAATGTAGAAAATTCAAAGTGGTAATAACCTTAATTCAGAGTATTAAGATAAAATATTAGATCTAATAAGATAATATCATATTTAATGAATTTGTATAATTGTAATATTTGATGAAATTATAATTTATGGAGGAAAACTATTATTGTATGGTAAAATTCAGCATTAATATGTAAAAATATTTGATTGAAATATTTTTTTCTTACTATGATGTAAATGGTTTACAAATATTCATTTTTAACCTTTTATTTTATTTGACAATCGAAGAGTATAATTTAATTTATTATTGAGATTATCATATAAAAAAATTTCAATTATTTTTATGTTTCAACTAAATAAACTTTTTACGTTTTTATAATTATAAAAAATTTTATAATTAGAAATATATTAAAACTAACCTAAAATAATTCATAGTTATCAGTGATATCAATTTTATTTTTATCGATGTTTTCTACATTTTTAAGAAAAAGTTTCTTGCTATCAATACAATGATTTTTTAATTATATTAATAGATTAAAAACATAAAAAGAAAGATTATATTCAATACATACCGTTTTGATTTTTATTAATTTAATTTTTTGTAATAAATATTAAAGAAAGATAAATAAAAATAAAAGATAATATGAATTTCCATTTTTAACTATATTATTTATAAATTTGACAGTTTCTTGTATATTAGAAGTTTGATAAATTATATAGTTATCGCTGGAATAAAAATTTTATAACGTGATATACATTATTGAACGTGATAATAGAATTTGTGTATGATATTACGTATTGTGTGATAAGCATGCAACTCATGGAATTGCAATGAAATGATAAGATCGTCTCGCGTTATGTATTTATATTGAATTTTTTCGTTTTGAATGTTCCTCGAATTTCTAATATTATTATAGATAATATTTGCTTGAAGAAAATACTGTGGATATTTTAATGTAATTTTAAATTGTTAAATAATTTATAAAATAAAATTTATAAATTTTTGAAATATAATAATATTGTAATATAATAACATAAATAAAATAATATATAATAATTTATATAGTAATATATAGTAATATGTATAATAAATTCTTGAGCATTAATTAAATTTTTAATTCTTAATAATAAATAACAATAATTTATTCAACATGTGATTATAGGATCTTTAATTTTAAATATAGAAAGTTTTTATAATCAAAGAACATATCAGTATTAGCATATAAGAGTTTAATATTCTAATTAATCACTTAATAATGAAAGAATAAAAAGTTATTATATAATTGATAAATCCTAAATTTACAAGATAAGAAAACATACAAATTATTTGTATGTTTTAATTTCTAAAAAATTTTAAAAATAAAATTTTACAGTTTATTTAATGTCATGTACATATTACAGTTACATGAATGACACTTGAAAATTACATGCATATTCGTTTGTTTGATAATATCATAAGTTGTGAAAACTAGTTAATTGATAAGAGTGTCGGTTTTTTTATGATTTATGATACATTTCTTATAAAAATGCATGTTTCGCGTGTGGAAATCATATCTGACATTTAAAAATCATATATACTTACATATATATAAGTAGATAGATATAGAGCTGGACTTGTTGTGTAGGTGAGATTCATGTAACAAAAATTTTTCGTGAAATATTACAAATTTCTATATTAATTTTACGAAGTGAAAATTATTAGCAAAATTATTATCTATTTAAGAAATAACTGTATTTTGTAATAATATAAATGCACTTGTGAAAAAAATTGTATATATTATAGAATAGAATAATAGAAATTATGTAAAATTTTTAGTATCAAAGTGAGATAACTAAATTTGATTAAACTGATTTTTGCTGTTTTTTACTTCTTCTTTATTTGATTTCTTTTTTATAACTAATCATACCGGTTATTTGATTTTTTTTCGTGTTAAATAGATTATCTCACATTTCTTAGAAGAAAATATTGATTTTGCAATATTTATTTAATATTTATCTAGATGTAAAGGTCAATTTTTTTACGATAATAGGATAAAGATTTCTTCTATCTTGAATTCCATATTTATATGCAGAAAGACTTATAATTTTATTTGATAATACCATTAAATTTATAAAATGAATTGCATATATTAATTTTTAATTAAAATAACAATTTAAAAAACATTAATTTAAAAATATGATTTTATTATCAAATAATCTATTCGTAAAGATTTAAATTTGTTCTTTATGGAAAAATAATGTATAATTTTTAAAAATCTTAGAATCACTATAATAATCATTCAATTTACATAATGAAATAATTATAACTTACATGAATATCACAATTTCATACACAAATATTTATCATGCAAATAATTACGTATTTTTATCTATCGTAACAACAAAAATTTTGTTAAATATATCTTAATAAAGGTTTCAAAAGGTTATATTTGAGATCGAGATCTATAGCTATTTAATTCAGCAACAACGTATAGCGGTTAACACGCATATTACGAAACACAATATATGAAATGTAATTAAAAATATTAGAAACACCTATTAAACTCGTTTGCTGTGCAGTAGCAATTAAATTTCCATAATACGAAACGATAACAGGTAATAGTTTCAGTTGTTTTCAAAAACATTTCGAAAAGTTTTGCATTAAGATTTATAAATAACGTTGATTATAATATTAATAACATTATCATGCGGTAAATGTAATTATTGAAAATAATATTATTCTCATTAATAATATATCAGAAATGATTAACAGTGCTTGTACATGTATTACGCGTATTAATATTAAAATTAATTAAAATTATAAGAACGATTATGATTCGTAATGGTGTGATAAATGAATACTGGAACGCGATATCGAGATACATCGTGTTACGTGGTAAACAGTAGGACAATGCGTTTCCTTTGTAAATGCATTCTAATTCTGGGAACAAATTGGTGCTTTTAGCGACATTAAAACGAGCCCATTAATCGTATACTTGATACATTTCGCGTACCTCGAGTTGCATAATAATGACATGCGGATATAAATTTACGTTTCTACCGAAGAAACGTCGTACAATTTGTAATCCAGGCTGCATATGCGTACGCTGAGAATTACAGAATAAATTTAATCGAATGATGACAGAATTTTATAAAATGCATCTCTTTTCTTTTTTGGTATATACAAATTTAATGGAATGAATTAAGTTTGAATTTTTCAAGCTATTATAGATGGAAGTATAATATATTGAATTATGGAAAAATACATTTTTATACAATTTCTAATATTTATATCATTGGTAAGAGCTTTATGAAGTTTCACAATAAAAATTTAACTAATAAATAATGTGACTTAGCATACATTTTTATTTTTATTTTAAATTCTTAGTTATAAAAAAAACTGGATTAAATCAAAACAATATTTAACAATACCTCTTTTTTTTTTAATATATAAAAATGTAATAAAAATTTTGAGAAATTTTTAAAATCTCTATTCCAGAAAACGTAGCATCATAATCTTCGATCAGCTGCAGAAAGAATTCTCCAGGTTTTATTCTGCGTTTAATGATCAATCTGCAACAACGAAGAAATCGTTCATCCTTCTCTCCTTTTTTTACAAAGATAGAGCGTACTTTTCTTTTAATTAAAAGTAGTTACCGGCACGGCCCAAGTCAATTCAAACAGAAACTTTAATCACTTCACGACCAGTGTGGATTTTAAAAGAAAGTTGTGATCTTTGATCAACGCAAGAGGCGGAAAACTTTCCGTTTCGCGTCATTCGCAACTGTTCGCACAGTCGACGCTGACTGATTTATCGCTCGCGTTCTCTTCGATGTTTTGACGTGCAAAATTTGCTTTTCGTATACACATAACAATTATTGTATGAATTCATACTGATTTCAGTATTAATTTTAAAACAAGAACGATGAAATATATTATTTTCATGACAATTTTTTAATACATGAATTTATCATGTGACTTAATAATGGATTTTCATGAAGAGATTTTCATAGTTTTTTCTTTACAATTATTTATATTAAAAATTTTCATTATTTGTTTATTTTAATATAAATTTATTATCTAATAATGGAAATAATTTATATTAATGCCTCATCATTTATTCAAAAAAACAAAATTGCATCTTGCTAAAAATTACACTCTATCAGAAAATCATTTACTTTTAGACTATATTATTTTTCATCACTTTCATTCCATACGAAACCATTCACATTCCATAAGAAACCACTCACATTCTTTGGTGAAGTCTCATCGATACGATCTTTCAATGTTTGTGGAAGATATAAATTTTCTTTTTGAAAAAATATGGAACAAATTTTATTTTTTTTTTAAATTTAAATTACAACGATGATATAAAATGAATACAATGAATCAGTTTTTTAATAAAATACAATTCTAAAATAAATACTGATGTTTTACAAATGTTGATCTTGATTACTATTATTTTATGTTTAAAATATGTTTTTATAAGTTATCAAATTGTATATTTATAGATACATCTTGTATAAAACAGTAGATTATATCTATACTTAATCTTTTTCAACTTATTTTTTAGAACTTAAGAAATTATTCAAACATTAATTAATCGATTTGATGATTTGTACCAAAGACGAACCGATTGTTGTATTTAATTGTGAGTAAAGACAAACATGGTTGTTTGTTATTATCGACTTGTATAAGGGATGCAGCGTGTTGCACGTTATGGTATAATTAGCACGCGACGCTGTACATATTCTAATATGTACAATGTGCTTGTTGGAGTATGGGTGTGTGTATATATCAGCTTATCTAATTACACAACTGGTAATATTGTACCTGGTGGAAAATGGTATCTAATCCTTGTTTTAGTTTTAACGTCCAATCGGTTTGCTTAATTTTCGTACTGCGAGAATTTGGCCAAAAGATGTCCAATAGCACATGAAAGACACGAATATTTCTACGTGATTTTCTTATCTTTCATATCATAAATTTTGTTCAATATTAAAGTTAAAATTATATCTTAAACTGATAATTTTTTGCTATTAATAGTTTAGAAATGTCTTTTTCTAATAGAAAATGATTAGGACAGTTTGCATAATAATTTACAATTAATAAAATTAATGATTAGATTCTCTTTCACCAATTTAATAATTTTAATTAAATCAATTATAATTTGTAAAATTTGATTGAAATTTTGATTATTTTTATTTTTTTATTTTATTTTTTTAATTAAAATTTATGAAAGAAAATTTATTAATATTATTAAATTAAACTATTATTTATTATATTAGTAAAAGTATATGATTTGTAAAATATAAATACGAGAGATAATAAAACTATGAGAATAGCATAAAATAGTTTTTATTGCGTTTCTCTCGTTTCTTTAAAGTACCGATTCAAAATCCTATATATGTTTTTATAGCTTTCTCGTTTTTGTTTTTCCGGATTGCGTTTTCCGATATGAAAAGATTGCATCAAATTTTTATTGAACGAACATAGAGTGTGACGTTCACGAGCAAAAAGCTGTGAAAATTATAACAGATCTCGTTTTTTAAAAAAGAGGAAGAATTCAACTACAAAAACATGTAAAAAAGCTCGATATAAATATTTTTTATAATTTTTCAAGAATATTATTCGCCAAGTCTCTTTTCACTTTATCTCTTTTTATTATCTGTTTTTATGTCATATTTCTTTTCATCAAATATTTGCTCTTTTAAATTTTGTGAATTTATCTGAATTACTATCTTTTTTTTTCATTTATTTTATTTTACTGTGTTATGAAAGATTTGAATTTCAAATATTCATATGTACAATATTCTCCATTATAATTCAATTTTCTACCATTAAATAAAGTCTAATTTTTTTTATTTTTCCTCTATATGAATTAGATATTCCTCTTTATTTTTTTTTCATTAAGAATTTTTTTTATTGAAAAACTAGTTCTTTTTCTTCTGGTCTAATAAATATATTGCATTAATAAATATTCTAAAATGAATTTTAAAAATTTTTTCACTATAAAATTCCTATTTACACAAGATAGACATATATATTTCTATATACAGAGTGTATATCTTTCGAATATTGGAAATATGTAAACAAGACTAGTAACAAATATTAAACCGTAGAAAGTTCACAGATATTCCATGATATTGTGAACGTCATATTCCTAGATATGAAATTCCTGCAAACATTCCTGATTACTATCACTATCATAGAATCCATTATCAAGAATCTAGTTACAGACTAAATCTTTTTAATGGTCCGAAATTGAATTTTTAAATAACATATTTCTATCGTTATTATTTCAGGATTGACACTTATCTGAGAATATCTAGAAGCGATAGAAACGTAGAGACAGGTCGTGGTATACCCTCGTTAAGCTTCGTGGCCGAGTTTGAACTGTGTTGATCTTCTCCACGCAAGCAGGTCATCTCTACAACCTGTGCCAGGCACATTGTCGACATGTCGTTACTCGGCTCCTGGTCACCACGTGGATTTTATGCGATTTTACTCACACATTTACCGCATAGCACTCCAGAAATCTGTGGTTTTTGTGGTCGATCGTTAGGACTACCGGCCACTTGTTCGCCTTAATTAATTTGATTACAGTTTATATTATTCTTGCATTTCCTTTTTTCGGTTCTATCTTTCTCCGATCTTATTAAACTATCTGTAAATAAACATTTGATTATAATACTGATCATCTCTATTTAAGAATACTATAGTATATTTTGTTTTCTCTAATTTTATTATCATAATCAATATCATCTTACATTAACCATTTCGATTGTACATACAGTTTATGATGAAGTATATTCAATTCTTCATTCTGAATATATCATATTTATTAATTATTTCATATTTCACCAATTTAAATATCATGAATATTGATTAATTGCTTATAAATATTAATGAAATTAATTATGTCGCAAGAGTGACAAAGAGAAACTTAGAACGAGATATTATCTATATATTAAATATCTAATAAATATCTATTTGATTTTCTGAAAGAAAATTGCAAAGTATTTTTTATAATATTACTTTTAAATTAAAAAAAATTAAACTTATTCGTTTATAAATACGATTTTTTTCATTATAAATACTATGTTGTCTCTCAAGAGATTAATCAAGAGTCAGTTCTCCATCCGTGCCTTGTTGAGACAAACGATTCGAAACGTTCGGGCTCTCTCTTCGTCAACGTGGTTCACCACAATTGTCTAGTTGGATTCGAAATAGGAAAAACGAGCCTCATTAGCTGCCTCGAGCTCGACGTTCTTCTCTCTCTCGACGGCATGAATAGCTCCTTATATTTTCACCAGGGAAACCGAATCGTTCGATTCGATAGAAAATTCTGAATCTTGAGAAGCTTGAAATGGAACGGTTCATTTTTTTTAAAATCGATTACGAAAAATTTTATTACGAAAAATCGATTTCAAGTGGAATAGTCTTTTGAGTGGAGATTGAGATATTTTTATATAGAAAACTACTTTAATTTAATTTTAAAATATTTTATATTGTAGGATTCGAAATTAAATATTTTATTATTTTATTTCTAAATTATCGTTAATTATTAGATATAAATATAATATGATGTGCATAAAATATGTGTAACATAAAATATTACATCTAAAATTGTTGTAATAATATCACATATTATCATTGAATTGTTCATTATTACTCTTCGTATTACATAATATATATATATAATGAAACTTGTTCTCCTTCAAGTACGAGAAAAAAAAAAGCTTTGAATTCTCGTTGTTACGTGGGAAAAATCAGGGTCGAAGGAGCCAATAAAAAATTCACGTCTGAGCAAAGTACGAAAAACTCTTCTGATTTGAACATCACACTTCTTTTCCTCGAGTTTGTTTTTCTTGTGTTGATGAATTTGAAGCGATCGAATAGAAATAAATCTAATTAAGTAGAAAGATGAAAATATAAATACCACTTTGATATTCATCGAGTTTTTTTTAACAATCAATATATTGTTAAATATGAATATAATTAATAGTTATTATATTTTCTAATTCGAGCAAATTTCCAATAAAAAATTTTTGTGTACATATGTATATCTCACTCATCTCTTTAATTATATGCACGTCTGTTGGTAATTCATTGTATAAAAATTATGTAATTTATCTGAAAATTTAAAAATATCTTAATCACAATTTTTAATAACAAGGCTATAATAAGATATATATATATATAATTATTTCCTTTTTTGCAGAAAGTATTTAATATATTTTCCTTCAATTTGAATATTTACACAATTAAAAATCGATATATTCCAAACATTCTTACCTTGATTCATGATGTTTGATATGCACTTACACTCTTCATTTTCCATTTTTTACTTACTATGCATGAATTAAATTGAAATTAATTTCATTAAGTATGCATCTGTGAAAAAATAAAAATATTTATTTCAAATTCTATATTATAATATAATCTATATTATATTTAATCAGAAATTGTATGTAAGTCTAATAGAAATTTGATATTATTTAAGTTTACATTAAATATATATATATATATTTCATGTTTTATGAAAAAAAAAGGAAAAAAGAAACGAGAGGAACTTATTAAGAAGATGATATCATTTGCAATTAATGTCGATGACATCATGTTTCTTTCTTGCTTGCTTACTTGTTTAATCATTTTGTCGACTTTTTACAAAAGAATTTGCTCATAGCATAAAATGTCTAATATCGAAAATTTTTTCCTCTTAAAAATAAAAATAAGATTGATAAAGAAAATTTTATATCTCATCATCGGTAATGTTAATTATACAATAGAAAAATTTAATGCAAAAAAATTACTATATTTAAGAAATAAAATAAAAAAAATGTATTGAAGATCATTTATAGAATTAAAAATTTGGTATTATATCATAGCATTTTATTATTATGAACTCATGAACATGACTGTATTTTATTTTTAGATTTTATGTGGGTGTTCATACATGAATCATACATTTCAGCAACATCTTAATAAGATTCAAACTTGGAAAATCATATATGATTTGTCATATTGTTACAAAATTATTTTTTTAATATAATTATAAAAAGTTATTTCAATCAATGAAACAAAATAATATTGAAAAATTATTATCACTGCAAAATAAGTAATTCAAATTATTTGTTCTATTATTATGGAATTTTTCTATTATATTTTTATATATTTATATTATAATATATTCATAAAACGATAACATAAATATATTCGTTTAGGTAATGTTAATTTTTAAATTTTTTTCTTATCGTTATCATTTAAATTTTATATTTTAATACACATCATGTCAATGTTCGTCGACTTCTCCTTTGACAAAATAAAAAGTAATGCTTTTAGTTAGATAAACTCTTACAAAAATTGCGATAAAGAAAACGATACCAAAAAGAGTATAGAATACACGTTGTCATGGATCAAGAATAATATTGCTCCCTTCTTACTTCTATTATTTACTTTTCATCTCGTATATCGAACAGATACAAAAGAGAGAAGTTTTATCCACCTCTCTCGACTAAAAATTTTCCGATCGATGGAATACACATGAGCTTTTATCGTTCATATTTATTTCTTTATTGCTTGACCCAGATAGTAGATTCAGTCGGAGTCTTTACAATAGCGCCATAAAGCGATTATCATTGGTATTATCCTCCGTGCAAATCGCAATCATCGTTCTTTATTTAATGTATGATCCAAATTGTAACATTCAAGGATACGTGTAATTATTTTAAAATTTATGATGATACTATTTGCTTATTTGTAAAAAAAAAAAAACAATTTGATTGATTTGTTCGTTTGTCATTTGTCGTTGTGAAAATTCAATAAGGTCTTCTGAAACACATTTATTATAAAATAATCTGTCATTCGTAGAATTTATTAGTATTGACATTTATTTACAATTATTCAAACAAAAATTAAAAAATTTTATAAATACGGACATATAAGAAAAATGCATTATAAAGAATAAATTAATCGTTTTTAGATTATATACACGTATACTCACCTTAAATCCGTTTCTTTAATTAAATTCACACTCCTCCATCATCATTCTTCCACATCAACGATAGCAATCCCAATTTTTCTTCTCGACTCGATCTCAATTTTCAAAATTTCAAACGTTTTACAAATACAGATACAAGACGGATCTGCAAACAAAAGAAAAAAAAAAAAAACTTTTTTAAGCATCGGTAAAGAAAGGAAGGGGAAAAAAGAAGAAAGAAAGTTTCCTCGACGCGGAAAGTTTCGTTCGCACGGTTTCGCGGGGCCGATACATCATCCCCTCTCCCCACGCGGATATTTCTCCCTTGTAAAACGATTACCAGAGGCGGCCGATGCACGCAAATCCCATCACGATTAACTACACCCTGTTTGCGAGGCGATCGGTCAATCAAACCTTCCAACTATTAATCGATGAGTACAGAGAACCGTGAACAGCCGTTGGGAGCGGAGAAAGCTAGTCGCACGCCCTAATGAATATTGATCCCCGAAGGTGGCAACTCGCCACCGTACGAAGAAACTAGACCAGGCCGGAGGAATTTTACTCTCCGGCGACTGTAATGGGTCAGGCTCATCGGGCCGGTATCGCGTAAGTAAGATAAATGATCCTCTAATATCTGTATTCCGCACAACAGTTTCTCCAACGACGCTCTGAATATCGTGCTCCGTTCGAATACGTTTCGACAAAATCTCGACTTGTTTTCGTCTTTTGACGCGTTTAATTATTGCGGAATATTGTTGAGATTAATTAGGGTGGAGTTTTGATTGGTATTCGTTCGATTATTTTGACAAAATTTCGTTTTATTTTAACGAATACGTTTGTGTGTAGAGCATGGACGGTGGTGGATTGTACAGATTGGGTTCATCCATTCGTTTTTCTTGTTTTAAGTATAATTTTCGTAATTTTTATAATAGGGGATATAAAGTAAGTTTAAAATAAAAGTTTTGCGTTTTCTCTTAGTATGTATTATTATTTTTAGATTTAATTCAATGATGCAAAGTATAATTAGGCGGGAAGGATTTTGTAAAAGGATGTAGATCTTACTTTAATAATTTTTTATGATATAAAAAGATTTGTAAAATATTAGATACTTGTTATGTAAAAATATAATTATATGTTATTTCTTCTGTTGAACAATTAAACTAATAATTTTAATTTTCTTAAAGTTAAATGAACTTGTATCTCTCTGACTATAAATTACTATACTAGATTCTCAATTGTTTTTATCAATACGATTTAAATAGAATGTAACATTAAGATTAATGTATCCATTCATTTATCTATATAATTAAAAAAGTCTTTAAGCATTTTTAAGATATTTTAAAATTGTTTTTAAAAGAAAAAAGTTTAAATTATCATACACCTTATTGAAATTCATCATAAATTGTGGGCAATTTTCTACCCTATGATCACTTTTTATCGTGACTATGAAAAAATAGGGGAGAAAAAAAAAATCGTAAATATGCAGCTAAGAGGTGCAGTTATTAGATTAATGAAAACAAAAAAAGAAAAGCAAAATGTGATAAAGAATGAGCCACTTATATACTTACAATAATTCTTCGAGCTACTATAAAATATAGCATATTTCAAGTTTCATTTAATAGAAATTAGATTAAAATATTTTTTATTATTTTAAATTAATAATTAACGTGATCTTACTTCAAATTTTTATTTATTTCTTATTCACATTATAATGAACTCTTTGATATTCTGTATCTAAATTTTTTTCTTACTATAATTTTATCAACGTTAAATAAATCAAAATTTATATTTTATTTATATTAGAATGGCTATATTTGTAATAAAAAAGTGAAATAAAATATTGATATTAATACACATATTAACAATTATATAATAAAATTTAAATTATTAAGATACGTGAAATAAATTCGTGGAATGAAATAATGAGAATGTTTATTAGTTCACGTAGAACTGTATTTTAGTTTTATACTCGAGAAACATGATTAGAATCCATGAAATCAATATTCGTTAAAAGAAAATTTCAG